ATTATTCATCCATCCAAAGTACTTATTGAGTACTTTCTATCTACTTTGTGTTGTGCTGTGCATGTGGGATATGGGGCGGAGGATTACAGTAGTAAAAGAGAGACATGCGCTCTAAACACATACTGTCTAGTAGGAAAGAAAAGACAATAAACAAATAAACAAATAATTGCTATGTTTGTTACTAAGCTATGATATCTTCTCTGTAAACTGACCCTTTTATCTACTGCTTGGCCTGGGACTCTGCTAACTGCACTTCTCTTTTGCCAGGTGGATCCATTTCAGGCTCTGACAATAGGGGGCGCTAAGTACCACTGGAAAGCAATAGGAAGGACCTTCACCTTGTCCTCCTTGTCCCCAACAGGTACCATGGACATGTCATTGACTCCAGCATCACCAGTTTGCAGTTTCTAGGTTCTTCCAACACTCACAGAACTAGCTTTATTGCATGCTGTCATAGGTGCCGGCATCATCCAGGCAGCACCCTCCCTTAGAATCTTAGAACCAGCTCCCTAGGGCCCTCTTCCAAGTTCCCAAAATACCAGCAGCAGACAAGCAGCTCCTTCAGAGGCTCCTCCTCTGAGGTTCTGATAGTCCCCAGCTCTAAGCATGGTAGTTACTTCCTGCAGTTACTATCTCTGTGGTGCCTCAGTGTCCACTTTTTGGTTTTTTTCGGTCTGCCAATACCTGTTTAGCTAATTCTCTATATTAAATTCTCTCTGTTAAAACAAACTGGTATGGTTTCTATTTACCCAAGTAGAACCTAAATGATACACATAAGAATGGTATAGTAGGTGCTTTGGGAACAGGGGGATAATGGGGGAGAAGCTTTCTATTTTTGAGATCAATGGGGTTGGATAGGGAAGAGGATTTTAATTCTAATAGGATCTTCAAAAGAGGCCAAAAGAGGCCTCTTTGAGGACACGTTTAAGCTGAGACTTGAGGATGAACAGGAGCCATGCATGTAAATGTGATGGGCAGGGGGTTAAGGATAGGACCAGCACATAAAAAGAACCTGAGGCATAAGAGTTTATGGTGCTCTGGAAAAGAGGGAGGGTTGAAGTGACACCTGATGAGTCAGTGAAGGAGGGAACAGTAGACCATGCAACTTCCGATAGGGCTTGGTATGTGGTTGAGTCTGTTAAAGGAGCAACTAGAATCAGTAAAGAGTTTTAGGCAGAGGAGTGATGTGATAACATTTACATTTTTAAAGAAGCTTTGAGTTAAGAAATGACTGGCAAGAGGCAAATAGAAGTGGATAGGACAGTTAAAAAGCTTTTATATTAACTTAGACTGTGGTGGCTGCAGTGATAATAAAGACATGACGGTGTCACCTTGTTTTCCAGAGGGCATGGCACAGGACTTCCTCATGGACTCAGTGTTTGTTTGGTGGTAGGAGTAAGATTGGGGGTTGTGGACAAGAAAAGAATCTACAACAGCCACCTTATTTCTGGCTGGAGCAACAGAAACAATTGTAATATTTTTTACTGAGATGAGCAAGACTTAAAGAGGAAACAGGTTTGGAGGATGTATTAGCTAGAAATTAGTTGGGCTGCCAATAACTGAAGACCAGACTACATTGGCTTAGACACTGATCTCACATGACAAAGAGACTGCAGTTAGGCATTTGATGGCTAGCATATAAACTCAATGATGTCATGTAGAAAGATCCAGGCTCTTTCTATATTTCCTTTCTGACATTTTCAGTGTTTTAACTTTTATCCTCATATGTATTGCCTCATGGTCACCATACAGCTGCTGAATCTCCAGGCCTTATATTTACATTCTATTAGTAGGTGCTTTGGGAACAGGGGGATAATGGGGGAGAAGCTTTCTATTTTTGAGATCAATGGGGTTGGATAGGGAAGAGGATTTTAATTCTAATAGGATCTTCAAAAGAGGCCAAAAGAGGCCTCTTTGAGGACACGTTTAAGCTGAGACTTGAGGATGAACAGGAGCCATGCATGTAAATGTGATGGGCAGGGGGTTNATTATTCATCCATCCAAAGTACTTATTGAGTACTTTCTATCTACTTTGTGTTGTGCTGTGCGCGTGGGATATGGGGCAGAGGATTACAGTAGTAAAAGAGAGACATGCGCTCTAAACACATACTGTCTAGTAGGAAACAAAAGACAATAAACAAATAAACAAATAATTGCTATGCTTGTTACTAAGCTATGATATCTTCTCTGTAAACTGACCCTTTTATCTACTGCTTGGCCTGGGACTCTGCTAACTGCACTTCTCTTTTGCCAGGTGGATCCATTTCAGGCTCTGACAATAGGGGGCGCTAAGTACCACTGGAAAGCAATAGGAAGGACCTTCACCTCCTTGTCCTCCTTGTCCCCAACAGGTACCGTTGACATGTCATTGACTCCAGCATCACCAGTTTGCAGTTTCTAGGTTCTTCCAACACTCACAGAACGAGCCTTATTGCATGCTGTCATAGGTGCCGGCATCATCCAGGCAGCACCCTCCCTTAGAATCTTAG